TCCAACCTTTGGAACGTAAACCAATCATTTTATCTAACCTATTTATCAAGATAAGCTTGGGGGCTCGTCTCTTGCGCGTGCGCCGACCGCGTGGTCGCTAATCATGTGACGTATAATGATTGCACAATACTAACGATGTATGACTATATCGTATAGCTATGTATAACACGGCGCCATAATTCTTATATTTCCTATCAAAATCCTGTTTTAGAATTAAAACTGAGTATTTATACAAAAAATATATGTTTGATTGTGTGTTTGTGTCTTTGTTGCTTCATTTCTCTATAATGGCTTAATGGATTTGGATAGAATTTTGTAATGAGACATATTGTATGAATATTATCCTGAAACAAATTAAAGTTCTCATGTAACGTTAGCTCCATGTCAATGCAGAAACTGTTTTAGAGTAGACGAAAGTAATTGTGTATATGGCTCCTCTAATTTATAATACGTTGCCTAAATCTATAACTGAACTTCCGTATAAGAAATTTTGTAATGTATTAAAGCAATGGCTAATTAAAGAAAATTACTACTCAATACACGAATTTCTAGAAAAAAACAAATGTTAATCTTTTAGTTTTAAAGAAAGAAATAAATAAGAACAGTAAGTGTAGTTTATGTACCAAAATTGTAGCTTTCATATATTTTATTTTAATCTAAAGTAAAGATTAAATGTAACCAATTTGCATGCCAATAATGGTAAATGTGCTGATCTAAATATATTGTATGCAACATCTATATCATGTACCACATTGAGCAAATAAAGAATTATTATTATTCTTATTATAATTATTTTTCCATAGATTCATATTTTACTGAGTAAGCAAAGTCATATGTAACAGGTAGTATAGTAAAATCTGTCAGTCTGTATGACTGATTATGTCAGTTCCTTGTATTCTAGTCTTTATCATTTTTTTTTCTTTAAATAAATATTAAAAGTGGATTCTGAAAAGTTATGTCATTTGTGTATGACTTAGGACGAATTAAAGTTACGTGCCTTTACGAGATAGTTTAAATCTATATATTATATATATTTCATTGATAGGTAGAATTTTACGGAGAATTTATATAAAACATTAATTTTTTTATGGCATAAGCCGGTAAACGAGCATACGGATCACCTGATGGTAAGCAATCGGCGTCGCCCATGGAACACCAGTGGCGTTACAAGTGCGTTACCGGCCTTTTGAGGATTAGGAGTTTGAGGATCGTTGGTGATTCAAGAATTGTTCTGTAATTTGTTAAATGACAATTAAGTACAGAATCGTTAATTATTTTGTTAAAAATTACAATTTTACTATAAAATTGAATATGGTGTTTTTAAATCATTCGTAAGTTATTCTGCCATTTTTTTATTGAATAAAACACATGATATCAATCCAATGACGTCATATTGAAGAAATCAAAATTCCTAAATGTCAATTTTCTACGCATTTTTTTTACAATAGAGAGACTCTACTACTAAAATTTCTTATTATTTTTAATATAATTTCTTATTAAAATATTTATCTTTATATTTTAATATAGTATCACGTGGGTCCAACTAAAACTATCAACTTCACAAGATATACCTACAAATGACTACATATCAAGCTATACAACACCAGTATAAACTGACCGTCGAACGTGTGGGAAGTTCATACAAAATGGGACCATGATATACTGGTTATATCCTGGTTGTTTTTCCTTGGGGAAAAAAATCTCAAGAAATTAAAATCGAGAATAAAAAATATTGTTAACTACATTCGAATAAAACCATTAAAGTTATTTTTAGCATAAATTACATTTTCATTACACGTATAAAGAACTACGCAAGCATTTGCGTCAAATTTTGCACTGCACAATTCATATTTAGTGTTAGCATAATGGAATTAACGCGAATCAGAAAAAAAACCTCGTAAAACCCCAGTAGTTCAAATAGAACTAAATAATATATGTAATACAATAACTTTTTAGGCCCAATTACCCTCCCCTTCCCCAAACTCCCCAATTCCTGAATCCTCAATGATCCTCAAACTCGTAATCCCCAAAAGGCCGGTAACGCACTTGTAACGCCTCTGGTGTTCCAGGTGTCCATGGGCGACGCCGATTGCTTACCATCAGGTGATCCGTCTGCTCGTTTACGTATGCCATGAAAAAAAATACTGGATAAAAATGCTAATCATAAAATTTAAATCAACTTTGGTGAAGTTGTAGAATGTCTTTTATTCTCCAGGGGGCAAGCAGAATGCGCTATAGTAACATTTTTTTTCACCAATTATGTTAAGACTGTCAAACGGCCATTTTCTATAACCTATATATCTGTAGATTTGCTTACCGAGATAGAAGCTCCATACAAAATGTGTCAAAATTCTATCTCAGTAAGTAAATCTACAGATAGATAGGTTATAGAACATGGCCGTAAGAAAGTAAGAATTTTTACACATTTTCAGGCATAAATCGAAAACTCATCACCACTTTACCTGACCCAAGAATCGAACCGAAAACCCCACTAATCAGCAATCAAACTTACAACCACTCAACTACGAAGCACACAATCTAACAAAAAAAAAACAATAAAATTAAAACCTTCTAATCCGTAGATCAATTTGAGAACAACCTCTTTAGTCTATGAAATCCGGGCATTGACACCATCCTGGCTGACGTGACTACATCGGTGTTTCACTTGTCAACCACTTCGCAGGTAGTGTCGTGCCCTTAATATGACGTAACATTGAGAACCCGTGCTGACAGGGGCGGACTAGGTGGGGGTCGGGCCCCGAGATGCATAGGGCCCCTAAACATTTAACATTTATATTTGGAAACGCCAGAGTATCTACTCTTTAAACCAATCTCAATGTCAATGCAATTTCAATCCAATAAAATCTCAATAATAACCTATACAACTCCTATCGTAGATAATAGCATTCAGAGTACGGAATATAAAGTCAAACTCAATACCGTTTAGTTCATTAAATATCCACGCAATAAGAATGCAATGGGCGCTAGTGTTGCAACTCAAGAGTACGTAATTTCACAATACCAATGTCGATCAATCGGATTTGGATTCAAGAGTAATCCCTGGTCAACATATTTCGTGATCAGATGGTGGTCTGTTCCTCGGTCGAAGAAGAAGAATAAAGTAATAATAAGAACGTTTATTTGCACGAAGTATGGTAATTACAGGTAATAATAATTATAAAAAAATAGTCCCACATACATTAAGTTTTACAATATAATGAAGTTAAAATGTTACATCTACTAAAACTAATTACAAATATGCTTACAAATATGCTAACATATTATTTTTCCTAACATGTTATTATTAATTTTCTTCTTTATTCACATATTTATCATTTTAGTGACTTACTCAATAGGAGGTTATCATTGCCATACAACGTGGCAATGCTGCCAGCCTTCTGGGTATTTTTTTATTTTTATTAGGGGAATGTCATCGGATGACTTGACTTTCCCTATTGACGTCGATGCTGACTGCTGCTGAATTTTTTGATGCTTTCTGTATAATAGTAATTTTTAATGGATTCTTTTATTTTCTCTGTTAATTTTAGTGTATTTTAAGTTATATCTACGTATTTTTATTCTTATTTCGAAAAGTTATCTAAATTGAATTAATTACAGAAAAATAAAATAAAAAATGCGTTTAAAAAACCGACTTTAAAAAAAACTAATAACAAACAAAAAGTCAAAACTAAAAAGACAAAAATAACTATTATTAGTACTGACAGGTTACCCACCCAGTGATACCTAGATTAGACGTCGGCGCCGTACATAACCGACCGACCGTTCAGCATACCCGGTTAAGAAGAAATGACATACCAAACCTTTACCACTTGACATCTAGAGAGTCGTGAGGAAAACAAATCTGCGAAATCAAACAAAAAAATGACTTATTGTTAAAAAAAAACAAATTGCTATAAAACAGAAACATCAAAAAAAAAATAAACTTAATTAAACATACATTTAATAATTTCTGCTAGACTTTAAGAAATACAGACAGCGTGATCATCATCATACCAGCCACAAGGCTTGCACTGATGAACATATGCATACCCCAATGATTTACAGATCGATCAGTTAGAGAAGATTACTAAAATCAAAAAAATCGATACATTATATTAACTTTAATAACAAAATGAAATGTACGATTCAACCTCTATAGACGGCATATTGTAATCTATAGTCTAAATTAGCTTGTCCAAGTTAATTTTAGCATTATCTACAAAGTACAAAATACCTATAATAGTCAAGAATACTAAAAACAAAAAAAAAGAATACAAAAGGTTATGATTGTCGAAAGAAATATATATTATGGATGATTTAGGTCACTATGTGTCTAAACAGGCGAATAAAATATAAAATTACCATTAAGATAGGTACTAAAATATGGCATGTTTCTATATGGTGATATACACCATGCAGGAATCTGTACGGGAATCCCGTCATCCCAGTTTTTTCCCAGTAATTAAATCCATTAGGTTAGATTTTTATCTCAATTCCAGAGTTCTTTTATCACTATGAGGAAAAAGAGAATAAACCCTTTCTCCCTAATTAAAAATTAAGGATAATGATAGCCAATTAATGATGAAATTAAAGTAGATCTTTCATAATCATGCTATAATAATAATTAAGATTGACGCACGAGTCCATAGAGGATATGTAAGCACCTACCTAAATGTCATAAAAATAAAAATAATTATTCATGAATAGCAAAAAATATTACAACAAAAAAACAAAATAAAAAAACACAACGAAATCGAATCATAAAATAAAATACGAAACAAATAAAATAACGCTACAATTTAAAAAGCACAATTCTAAAATCAAACTTGAAAAATAAATTAATCGTAAAAGTTACGAAAAAAGTCAACTGTTAATACGTAAAATACATTATAAGTGCCTACTTACTGAATGTATGGAGAAAATCCTTCTACGAAAGCAGAGCTGATACCGCAGACTATTATCTCTTAGATGCCCGTTCTATATATAAAGGGTGGCGAAAAGGAATTGTCCATACTCCTATCACAACTCGCAAACAGACAACAGCTCAAGAAAATTTTGTATTTTTATATTTAATCGTGTGTATTGTGAGAACGAGATTAACAAGGTTAGTGGATTTTACGATTAATTCCTTTTTTTTTATTTTGTGATCCATTTTTTGTGTTATATATTTTATTTATCGTTTTATCGTAAATTAATTTTTTCGATCGTTTTTTGGGACTTGCACACAGTGATAAAGTTACGTTTACATTTTTACTTCGTTAAAATCTAAATAAAAATGAAATATTCCTTAAATAAAAATTAGGTACGTATAGAATTTCCACAGCATTATTTAATCGAAAAAATTTAAACTTCAATAGAAAATCTAGTAACTAATTTCCAGTATGACACACTCGTTCACTTTCCGTGATTTTATGAAATAAAATTATTTTTTATGTTACAAAAATCCAATGTCACATATTATCGAATAAAATCGTTAGTAATATCGTAACACGCGCCGTCGATAAGGTACATAGTGCTTACAACTGGCATGGACCTGTGGCTACTAAATTATGACTAACTAGGTACTTAAAGACATACTGGTTCACTGGGCCTCTGTGACTAAAGGCGATTTAAATCTAGAACACAGTACAATAATTCGAATGTCGAATTTTTTAATGATTAATTTTAGTTCAATTTTTTGTAACAAATTTATTTTTAAATTTAATTTGGGATTTATTATTATTTCGTAATTTATTTTATGATATTTATTGAATATTTTATTGTTGTAAGAAAGCTATTCTAATGAAATTGAATTCTGTTGTTATTCTTTATCGAATAATAACTGATTACCAAAAATAACGATATATACGATTCTTACATTATTTTCATACCTAAGTGTATTTCTGTCAATCCTCTTGAACGATAAAAAGCTTGATATTAATACCTAAATAAAATAATTTTACGAATAGGTAAATCACACGCTTTTACTAACAATTTCATTATGAAACTAGAAATATGAGATATAAGTATTGACATAATATTTGATAGACAGTCATTTGATATCGGATACAATTCAATATTACAGAATTACTAAATATTGCTTAATTGCAATCATAGGCTTATTGTTTCTAGATATGAAAGTGCTGGTGTCATACAAAATTTATGTACTATCAATACTTTCATTGTAGAAATGTACAATTATAAGTACATCGACTAGTTTCAAGCCATTCTAGAGTTTTATACTTATGTATTAATTTACTGATTGCCCCGTTAGCTAAGTGGTCGCAAGCGCGACCGCCGATCAAAGTGTCTCAAGTTCAATTCGCAGTTTAAGGCAAATTTATTAAAAATTTCTTCTTAATTTTTTTCAATTTTTCATTTGAATCTGTATTCAGTGCATGGGGTTATAATAAACCACCTTTTACATGAAACTCATAACATAAAGGGTGAAAAGCGGATGTTACATAAATTAAATGCTAAATCAAACCTTCAATGATTCATGATCATCATTACCAACAGCTGGAACACGTCCACTGCTGGACAAAGGCCACCCCCTTAATCCTCAACGTCGAACGACAACGATTAATTTTTTCTATCTCACTTTAGCATCTCTGCCTATCCCTTAAAACAGTTGCTTATAATAACATAACACCACGCCTTTTATACCCGAAGGGGTAGACAGAGGTGCACATTATACCACTGTACAATGTAGCACCCACTTTTCACTATTTATGTAAG